CCCCCCCCCCCCCCCCCCGAGAAAAAGAAAAACTCCCACAGGGAGTCAGCCTTCCGAAAACCAAGTGACTGCTTTTCCAGAAAGCAACACTGGGCTGGCCCCTCCTTTGTCCCTGCACCCGTGAGGCTCCAGCTCTGGAGAGCTGCTTATTGACTGACAGCCCTGTGATTTCGGCCCCGGCCCCACCCCCTGAAGTCTACAGTCCGCACAGCTGGGCCTTAAGCTTACGCTGCCTTGAGCTGTTAACGGGGGTCTGTGCCTGCTCTTAACTCAGCTGTAACCTTCTTGAGGACTAGGGAGGAACCATGGATTTCTTTTTCACCCCTAGCACCCAATCTTCGGAGGGATGTGGAAGAGTCACAGAAAGAGCAGAGCTTCCGAATCTGCCACGGGGTCTGGACATGGCACCACTTATCAGCCATGGGACTTTGGCAAAGTGGTTCGACCTCTTCGAGCCTTGATTTTTTTCCCCCTCAGGTATAAGATGGGGAGAATACCACCTATCGTGTGATTTGTGGAAATGCAGTGAGATCGTGCCTATGAAAATGCCTATACCATAGCTGGTACACAGTATGTGCTCAGTAAATGTTGGTCTCCTGATTTGTGCTGGCCCGAATGACGGAGGCCCAGGAAGGCAGCGGGACCTTCTCACTGGTCTGAACAGACCTGTGTGCATGTCCGGGGAGAAGCAGGGCTGGACGAGGTGATCCTCGGGCCCCAAATGAGGCGCTACCACATCTCAACTGTCAGGGAAGCCAAGTCCATGAGCAACTGGACTGGTTTGAGTGAAGAGCAGAGAATAAATAGGAGACCCCACCCACGGGCTGGCTGGGGTCCACAAAGCCCAGGCACACATTCAATAAATCATTCATGTTCACAACAGGTACACTGACGGAGGGGAGGAGGGAGGGAGAGACAGAGAAGATGGAGCAGAAAGGAAGGAGAGGAAAGGGGAAGGAACAAGACCTGAGAGGGTGAAAAGGTGGCTGCTCATCCCATAGAAGGCCCTCTCCTTTGGTCTGTTCACTTTTTGTTTTGCGGTACGCGGGCCTCCCACCGTTGTGGCCTCTCCCGTTGCGGAGCACAGGCTCCGGACGCGCAGGCTCCGGACGCGCAGGCTCAGCGGCCAATGGCTCACGGGCCCAGCCGCCCCGCGGCGTGTGGGATCTTCCCGGACTGGGGCACGAACCCGTGTCCCCTGCATCGGCAGGTGGACTCTCAACCGCTGCGCCACCAGGAAAGCCCAGTCTGTTCACTTTTATAACAGTAAAGGCAGCCCTCGTGTTACTGCGCTTTCCTTTACTGTGCTCTGCAGATGCTGCATCTTTTACATAATGAAGGTTTGTGGCAACCCTGCGTCGAGCAAGTGTTATCAGCACCGTTTTTCCAACAGTATGTGCTCACTTTGCACCTCTGTCCCATTTTGATAATTCTCACAATATTTCTAACTTTTTCACCACTATTATATGGGTAAGGGTGATCTGCGATCCATGATCTTTGATGTTACTATTGCAAAAAAGATTATGACTCGCTGAAGGCTCAGTTGCTGGTTAACATTTTTTAGCAATCAAGTATTTCTTAAGTAAGGTGTGTATACTGCTTTTTTAGACATAATGCTGTTACACACTTAATATAGTGTAAACGTAACTTTTACATGTACTGGGAAACGAAACATTTGCGTGACTTGCTTTACGGTGGTTGTCTGGAAGTGAACCCACAGTATCTCGGAGGTTTTTGCCTGTAATCATTCCACAAATGTGAAGAGCAACCAGGAGGGCAGGGGGAAAGGAGAGGGAGAAGCAATACAGCATCTGCAGAAATGCTGCTTAGCTGCCTTGCTTCCCATGCCGGCGTTTCATAGCTGTACCCTTACAGCGGTCACTTGGCATTGAATACAGAAAGGTCTTCGAGATGCATCCCAGCTGGGTCCACACTGTCAGCCACCTCTCAGGGGTGTGTCAGGGTATGTGTGCTAGACCCCAAGGGCCATGATGCCCAGGCTACATATCAAGTGACCACGTTTACAGTAAACGTGCAAGTCTCCCGCATCCTTCTTTTGGGAATTACGCTCTCTTCTGGGCTGCGTGCAGGGCAGGTGGCCCCACCGTGTCAGGCGGCTCTGTGTGTACAAGGCATGCCCGCCGTCAGGGGGAGGGAACATCTGCTCGGCCCCCTCCTCCTCACCCAACCACACGCAACACAGTGCACATGCGATGTGGCAGCTGGGGTTCAATTCAAGAAACTGCTGGTCTGGAGCCAATTTGGTCCCTTAACTAATGAGGCGGGAACATCTGGAGATGTGGCTGGAGATGGCTGGGCTGGGCCCCTCACAGCAGGAACACATAGATCACATTTGGTCATCACATAAAAATCGATGCTTCAGGGCCTCGACCGCCACTAGCAGAGACCCTGCCTCTGTTTCGGCTCTCCTGAGCTATTTCAGGTGATGGAGCCCACCCTCCATCCTACTGCCAGCAGCATCTCACCTGCTTAAAGCCTGTAGGGGCTCCTCCTCAGCCCCCGGCCACACTTGAAGCCATGAGTGAGGGGCCCTCCTGTCTCTGGAGGAGTACACTCCAGCCATCCCAGAACTCACTAGCTCTCCTGCCCACGCCCCTGACTCTGCCTGACACACCCTCTGCCTGCCCTGATGGCCTGGCCAAACCCTACGCGTTTCCGACACTCAACTCGAGAGAAACCCACACTGCAAGGTGATGCTTGGCACACCCAACGCCCCATCCCCAGGCTGCGTTACGTGGCCCTGCTCTGTACCCTGATGCCACACGGCATCCTCCATCAGGGCACATATGAGACGGCACGGTGACTGTGGGCTGTCTTGTTCGTCTCCCCCACGAACTGTGAGCGGCCTCGCTCCTCCTCTGTCCCAGACCCGAGCCCAGTGATTGCTCTGTACATACTGGATGGAGGGACAGAGGGAGGGATGGGGGAGGGCGGGCACTCAGGCTTAGGAGCAGAGCCCCACGAGACTCTAACCTGCGTCCATGCTGTGGTTCATCTGGTGGTCACTGGTCTCTCCATCTTCACTCAAGTAGCCCGGGGGTGGGGTTTCTGGGAATTGAAAGGAAGGTGGTTCATTAAATGGCCTCTCCGGTTTGCCTCTTGAGACGCCCTTTGCAAACTCACACATTCACACCATTATGCCAGGGGGCGGGCGCCGAGGAGCTCTGGGCCTTGGATCCCTGGCTCCCACCTTCCTCATGCCTTTCTTCCTTCCTGCTCCCCACCTGGACCATGACCACCTTTGTTCACATCATCCCTGACTCCCAAGTCTGAAATGCCTATTCCTACAGCCTCTGCCGGGCTGAACTTCTCCCCATCCCTCAAGGTTAGGTTTAAGCTCCGCCTCCCTTCCAGGGAGGCAGTGGACTCATCACCCCTGCCTCACTCATCTCTGTCCTCTGAAGCGCAACAGCCTCAAACTGCCCTTTAGCTTTACTATCTACCCGTGTGCAGATCCATGGTTATCTGCTGTCTCTTGAGAGGATGTCTTGGCTCCCGAAGTGGGATGCAAGTTCCACGACAGCAGAGATTGCGATCTATTTCTCTGAATGACCCCCAGATCCCGACTCAGCTCTCTGCTTTGCTGGATGAACAGAGTGGGCAACCTACCCCTAGGGACCCGCACCACCTGTGAAGGATCTGTAAGCCTGGATTTGTAAAGTGGGTCCCTCCTTAACACTCTGACCCACGCGCAAAGGCCCGTGGTCAACCTCAGCACGGTGAGCTCACTCAGGGTGAAAGGCGCGTCCAAACTAGCCAGCTCTGAAAGTAAGGCGGCACATCACTGCCCAGCCACCTGCGCTGGGACCGGCTAAGCTCCGCCAAGCAGTTTTCCTGGACGCCCAGAGCGCTGGTGACTCTCACATTATCTGCATGTAAATGAGGGGCTTCTAAAAACATTTGCACTCTGACGGCACAGCCCACTTCTCCCGGTGGAATAAAACCTCCCACCCAGCTTGTAACCCTCCCCGGGCTTACTTACAGGGCCAGTTCTCCGCACACTGCCCGGCCCTCGGCCCTCTGCTCGCCCGCTGCCTCTGCAGCCCCCAGACTGTCGGGGATCCTGCCTGAACTCCAGCCCCGGCCGCGAGGGCGGTGAGAGAAACACAGCGTTGCTATTTCCGCTTCCAAAATAAATGACTGCACCGAGGCCCGGCGGGAGGGTCACGCCGCCGCTCCTCCGTGCCAAGAAAAGCATCATTAGTGAGTGGGGAGCCAAGGCCACGGGTCCTCTCCCCACAGGGATGCAGTTCTGAGTCAGGGGCCTCGGCCCAGCGTGTGTGCAGAGACCGGGTGCCGGGTCTATCTGGCCCCCGCCCCCGCCCCCGGGCCAGCCTCACTGCCCACGTGTGCATACCTGGAATATTGCTCTGGGGCTCGATGCCGGCGGGGAAGTTAGTGTTTTCGGGGATGGAATGGCTGTAGTCGTCCAGCGGGGGGAACTCGGCCGGGATCTCTGTGTGGCGTGGCACCAACACAGGAGGTAGAACTGCCCAGAGGAAACAGAGCAGAGGTGGATCAGCGTCGACGCCAGGCTGGCACCAAAGCCCCTGCACCCCCAAATGCACCACAGGCCCTCCCTCACAAAGAGGACAGAGAGAGAGGGGAAATGGGGGGGGGGAGAAGGGGGAGTGGGGTATAGGAAGGGGGTAGAGGGAAGGGGAGACAGGGAAAGGGGGAGAGGGAGGGGGAAGAAGGGGAGGTGGAAGTAGGGAGGGAGGGCGGGGGAAGTGGGGAGGGAAAGGGGGAGGACAATGCCATGCAGGTAGCCGCAGGCCCCACAGAGGCGGCGCACCTGGGGTCTCCACCCTCTGATAGTGGTAGGGATTCACGCAGACCTCGTCTTTCTTCATGTTGAAGGCGAACTCACACAGCTCCATGGCCCGCAGCTCATGGTGGCTGTGTAGGTCGGGCCATCGCCACAGGCGGCAGTAGATGACATGGGGGAGCCCCTTCCGGTGGGACACCTGCAGCCGGCCATCCAGGGACCTGCCGGGAACGGGAGGGACAGAAACAGACAGTGAAGTAGGTCTGGCTTGCCTCCTCCCACGTCCGGCCTGCCGAGCTCCATGAGAACTCGCTGGCAGAGACTCAGGAAGCTCCCCTCCGCTGGTCTGTCTCACACGCAGAGGGCCAGGAGATCAGAGAAGCTCTGTGCGTGCTGGAAGGGGTCCAGGAGAACACAGAGGCCCACCCAGCAAGGCCGAGGGCTCCCAGGCTGACAGAGCTGACCTCGGACCCGCCGCACGAGGGGAACGACAGCGAATCATGCTCTGGAAAGGTCGGGGCCAGGTGGAGGTGTGCAGAGGGGACAGGGCTGAACTAGGAGACGGGAGTCCTTCAGGAGCCGATGTGATGCTGAGGAGGAGGGTGACGGCACACAGGGCCCCCCCGCCCCCACCAATCGCTTTCCACACTCACCCAGTTCCTCTCTCACACATGAGAAACCAGGAAAAAAAAACCCGACCCTCTTTTTTTTCAGTTGGTGTTTGTGATAAGGCAGGGAGGGAGAGAAGGCAACGAAGGGGAATTTTATCCGGTCAGAGGCTACACGGCAGACCTCTCGGGAGTCCCTCCCAGCGTGAGGGCTGCTGGCAGGCTGGCCCAGGTGTCCCAGTTCAGAGCTAAGGCCTAAGCGGTCATGCGTGAGCAGAGCAGGAACCGAGCCTGTGACTTGGTTCTGCCACGGTCCCCGACCTGGCTGGGCCGAACCCACCCCCCACGGCAGTGTCCTGTCCCTGTGCAAACCACGTCTTCCATGGTGACTTAGCCTCTGAGCAGCTGACCTGGCGCCACGCCCCCCACCCCAGGCCAGAGTGTGGTCCCTGGTGGACCAGCAGCACGGGTCCACGGAAGCTCGTGAAAAAGGCAAAATCTCAGAGGCTACCCCAACCCACTATATCAGATTCTTCCTCTTTCTAAAATCCCCAGGTCATCTGCAGGACAAGAAAGTTGGAGCAGTGCCACAGGCCATGACAGCTGGGAGCTCGTGTGGCAGAAGCACCGTCAGCCAAGAGTAAAGGTCGGAGGCAGGAGGCATCTGGAGGGAGAGGTGAGAGACTTCAAGCAACGCCAGGTATTAGACAGGTGAGGAGGTTCCGTTCACACAGAGTCCTTTATCTAACAAGCCTTTCATGACCTCCTACTCTGTGTGGCACTAGGGTTACAGCGGTGAGGGAAAGAGAGTAAAAGAGACCACAGAGCGGTCCCTGCTTCCACAGAACTTCCGTGGGCAAGACCGACATTAATCGCATAGTCAGGACAGCTACAATGACAAACTAAGTGCAGGGAACCACAAGAGCATATGACCCTGGGGACCCTGCTGCACTGAAGGGCGGGACAGGGCATCTCTGAGGAGGCGGTGGTTGACCGGAAAGTCTGCAGGATAAGTAAGAACTAAGTAGTCAAAGGGGTACAGGAGGAGGGCACTCCAAGTAGAGAGAAGAGCACGTGCAAAGGCCCTGGGAAGGTGGAAAACACGGTGAGGAGGAATACCAGAATGAAGGCCAGAGTGACCAGAGAGGAGGGAGGCTGGGGTAGCAGACGGGGGGTGCTTCTGCAGGGTCTCAGATGCCATGGTGAGAGGTTCTGCCTTTCTTCTAACAGCCACAGGAAGCCTCTGAGATGTGTAAGTGGGCTGAGAGTGTGTTTGTGTGTGCGCATGCGTCTGTGTGCACGCACGCAAGACACAGGCCCCGTGATAATCCTGGCTGCGGGGACAAGCAGACTGGGGGCAGTGGAGAGTCAGGGTGGATGAGATGGACGCTCGTCAATAAGGGGGACCCAGAGGCAGTACTGCGCCTTCTTCAAGACGGCCCGTCCTAGGACCCCACTGGCCCGCGGGCAGGACTCTTCCAATAGCTGGGCAGGCCTGGTGGAGAGACATTTGAGGCTCTCCCTCCCTGCCCCCATACGACTGAGGGCACCCATTTTCCTGAATATATGGACACTCTGTGAGGGAGGGGCTTGCCAGATGCAGCCAGAAGCACCAACCAAAGAGGGAGAAACAGGAATCCAATCAAACTCTCCAAGCCACTGGCCTGGGCAGGGGGGAGGACAGACAGAGGTCAGAACTGGACTTGGGCACAGGGACTGACAGGGATCTGCTGACTAAGGGCAGCTCAAAGGATGTAATTATACCTCCCTCCTGTGGGGCCCCAGACCGAGGAACCCCGACAGCCCAAAAACAGTAATTAGGAGGCAGAACGAGAGAAGACAGCCTGGGACTCGCCCCTGAGATACAGAAGGCAAATGGCCAGATGTGGAGTCATGAGACCTGGGGTCAAGATGAGGTTCTCCTCTTCCGGCTGTGAGACCCTGGGCAAGTCCTGAAGTCTCCGGGACCCTCGGTTAGCTCATCTGTAAAATGGAACATTCTCCCCCCACCGCTGCCCCTGACCTCACGCAGCTCAGTATCCACTCTTTTAAAAGCGCTTTGTGAAGCACCAATAGGACCGTTATTCTTCCCCATCACGACGGCCACCCTCCAAACCCGGCCCCGGAGAAGTGAGGTGAGCTCTGGGGCTGAGGGCCAGAGAAAGGGAGAGTGGGAGGTGATGTGTGGGGATAGAGAGGGACTCGGCTCTTCCCATTTTCTTGCAAAGCCACCGTGTGTCCATAGATAGGGAAGTGGTCACTTCTGCTCTTCAGTGTTGGACAAAAGCCCCAACAAAGAGCCAGCTGGACATCTGGAGTGGCCTCTGCAGGGGGAGGCCTTGGAGAGAGGCTCAGACCAGCAGCGAGGAAAGAGTGGGCTGTGGAGGGAGCCCCCAACCCCTACCTGGTTGATGGAAGGGTTAGCCCTCTTGCTTTAAAAAAAAAAAAAAAAA